AGCCCTGCAGCAACGGTTTTGGTTCTGCGAGAAGGAAGCAGTCTTCACAAACCTGCTTTGCAGATCTGGTCTTGCTGCTCCAGGGGTGTCTGAAGACAAGTCTGAGCTCAGTGTTGGTCTGCCTGTCGTGGTGTGATGGAGCTCTTCTCCAGAGTGCCCCAGGGGCACTCACTGATTGCAGTAGCCTTGCTAATTTGGCAAGGTTGATTCTAGGGCACTGTTCTCCCACACATCTTGGAGCAGAGTTGAGGGGGTTATTAACCTTCCTCTGGATTTGCAAGTTTGTGCCATGACTCCCAGAAACAACCTTACTGACTTCCTGAGTAAATTGCTTCCTATTCGTGGCTGCCCTGTGGCTGCTTTGGCACATCTGTGAGATCTGACACTTGCTGTTTTTTATATTCCCAGGTGTTCCTCTTTGATGGATCTGATGCATTCAATTGCTGCACATTCCTCTCAAGTACCTATTTCCTAGCAGGGACCCAGGATGGGAACATTTATCAGCTGGATGTGAGAAACACCAAGTGAGTGCATGCCTGGGGCTGCAAGTACTGAATGGCAATTGTGGGTGGTTGTTTTCCTCTGAGGAAGAGTCAAATCAAAGATGCTGGCAGACATTGCCTCTTCTGAAGGTGGATACAGCCCAGGCAATGGCACTGTGAGCTTTGGAGCTTCTTGCAGTCTTTTCTTTCTCTTGGGGAGCATTCAGCTTTGGCAGGAACTGCTCTGAGGTGGCTTTTAGTTGGTCTGAAGGGCAAGCTCTAAGCAAGGAGCATCCAGTTACCTGGATGAGAACAGTGAAGCCTGGCATGGAAAAATCTGAGAAATCTTTCATGAAGGATAAGCTCCAAACTTGTGGCTGTTTTGGTAGGGATAATCCCTATGTCTTAATGTTCTCCTTACGTGCCTCACATTCTTCTTTCAGCACTCAAACACTGGGATGGATTTTGATTTGTCCATAATGCTTTTCTTCCTGTTCCTTTTTTTTTTCCAGTGCTCCAATCCAAATAATTCACAGATCAGGAGCACCAGTGCTTTCTCTGTTCCCGTACAGAGATGGATTCATTGCCAGCCAAGGTAACTCAAGTGCTGTGTACAGATGGTAGAATTGAATGAGCAGTTTTATGCTCTTTATTCCCTCTCTTATATGCAAGCATTGCATGTCAAAGCCACTAGAAGAGGGCTTCACCAAGTGTCCATTGCAAAAAGGTGATGTAGTGGAACCTCATTACGTAGTTGCTTTTTGCCTTGTGATTTTTCTTGTGCTCCCCCAGAACAGGGCCTGCAAGGAGCTTCTCAGTCATTAAAGCCTTTTCCCATCTCACTAATGCCCTCACAGCATGTCTCCCTTTTCTTGGGCATTTCTGCTGGGCCCACAGTGCTGTTTATAGAAAGAATGTGGCCTGTTTTTATTCATCACCCAATATTCCTTCCTTGGTGTTCTTTCTGCTTGCATAGGTGATGGAACGTGCTTTATCATTCAGCAAGACCTCGATTATGTCATTGACCTCACAGAGGCAGACTGTGACCCTGTGTACAAGGTGAGGAATACAGTGTGTTGACTAAAGTAAAGTACTTGGGGAAAGGTGATGCCAAGCAGCAGACAGCTGCATTTATCTCAGGAATTGGCTGCCCAAGATTTTCTACCTGAATAATCCTAATGTTTGGCATAAGCAAATGCTGTCAGCATCTCTCTATGGAACATGTATAGTATTATCTCCACTTTGCAGGAGTAGAACTGAAGCAGAGAAGTTGTGGAGAAGATCTGGCAGAATGTTTTTTTTTTTTTTTCTTGTAAGGAAGCTGGAATTGATCTGTGCTTGGGAGTTTATTGGGGACAAAGCAACAGTTGGAAGCGCAGTGCTGCCTGTCTTTGGCTCCTATGTGATGTGAGACCACAAAAGTACTTCAGCTGTTCTGTGTCCACACAGATGGGAGACAATGAGCTAGGATCCGAACCACACAGCACTGATGGAAGTCAGCTTAGTTTTAAGTGGTTCCCCCTCCACAGTCCTTTCCTGAGCTGATAAACACAAGTTTAGCATGCAGCATCATTCTGAGCCTGAAATTTGACCTGCGGAATTCAGGGAATCATAAAATCATTAAGGTTGGAAAAGACCTCTAAGGTTACCAACTACAGCACACCCCACCATGCCCCCTGCCCACACCCCTCAGTGCCACATCCCCGCAGCTCTTGAACACCCCCAGGGATGGTGACTCCTCCACACCCTAGGCAGCCTGTGCCAGTGCATCACCACTCTTTGGAGAATGTTTCCTAATACCCAACTGTCCCCCCCAGTGGGTCAAGGCCTCACATTGCACTCTTGTCCTATCAAATTCAGCAGTACCCAAACCCATTTTCCCCTTCAGATCTATCAGAAGGCTCTTTATGTGAGCACCTGCCCACCTGTGAGATAAGAGTGAAGTCTTCAGCAAGTTCATACACTGTAGAATCATGGAATAGCTATCACTATCCAACTATAAGTTTTTCACCCAGAGGGTGGTGAGGCACTGGAACAGGTTGCCCAAGGAGGCTGTGGATGCCCCATGCCTGCAGGCATTTAAGGCCAGGCTGGATGTGGCTCTGGGCAGCCTGGTCTGCTGGTTGGTGACCCTGCACATAGCAGGGGCTTGGCACTGGATGAGCACTGTGGCCTTTTTCAACGCAGACCATCTATGATTCTATGAATTTTCAGAGAGAAAACGTGAACTAGCCAGTGTGTCGCAGAAGAAGCAGTCTAGGAGGTTTCTGGAGTGTATGGAGGATAACTTTCTGATGCAGCTGGTGAGAGAGCCTATGGGAGGAGCTGCCCCGCTAGACCTGCTGTTCACAAACAGAGAAGGTCTGGTGGAAGATGTGGAGGTTGGGGGCTGTCTTGGACAGAGTGACCATGAGATGGTAGAGTTCTCGATTCTTGGTGGAGCCAGGAGGAAGAACAGCAAAACTGCTACCTTGGACTTCCGGAAGGCGGACTTTGAATTGTTTAGAAGACTAGTAGGGGGAGTCCCCTGGGATTCAGTCTTAGAGGGTAAAGGGGTCCAAGACAACTGGTTGCTCTTCAAGAAGGTAGTCTTACAGGTGCAGGAGCGGGCTGTCCCCCTGAGCTGCAAAATGAGCCGGCGGGGAAGGAGACCGGCGGGGATGAATAGGGAACTATTCTTGAGGCTCCGGGAGAAAAAGAGAATCTACCTCCTGTGGAAGAAGGGACGGGCAACTCAGAAAGAGTACAGAGAAGTTGTTAAGATGTGCAGGGAGAAAATCAGAAAGGTGAAAGCCCAGCTCGAACTCAACCTGGCCGCTGAGATAAAAAGAAACAAGAAACCCTTTTACAAATATATCAACAGTAAGAGGAGGACTAAGGAGAATCTCCATTCTTTACTGGATGAGGCTGGGAACGTGACTGGCGGAGGTGACAGCCGAGCCGCTTTCCATCATCTATCAGCGCTCCTTGTTGACTGGTGAAGTACCAGAAGACTGGAGGCTTGCCAATGTGACTCCCATTTATAAGAAGGGCTGTAAGGAGGACCCGGGGAACTACAGGCCTGTTAGCCTGACCTCGGTGCCAGGGAAGGTTAT